TCCAAGCACCTTTCCACATTAGTGATCTTTTCTTTGCACTTTGGTTTTAAAGTTTAAGTTGGTTTTAACACTTTAAGTTATCTAATTAGAATTTTTATAGTCTTCTAAATTAACAAGTCTGAAAGTGTAGTGAAACAATTACATGAAAAGCCATGTCACAACGTTGTGTTGGAAATAGTATTTGTTTTGCTTCCAGTTTATTGTAACTCACTCAGAGTTCATAGACTTTTGTGGCCACTGTGAGCAGAGGGATGAAGAGTGAAAACCTTCTATAGTGAACAGTTGTCACCACAAATGGGGGACTGTCCACATTTGAGCTCCTTTCCTCTGTTTAGAGAATGCCCTACCTTAGGTGACTTGGTGTGAAATTTCTTTTTCCATGAGGAGCTGAAAGTGACAATCATTTTTCTGGCCCTGTGACTGCTAGAACACAGGCATATGGCCAAGACTCAGCTAACCAGAATTATCCATCTGAATGTTTTAAATGGAGATCATGAGGCAGGGGTTGAAAAATTCTCCTTGGTAGGGAACAGAGATGGGAATGAATATAGCAGTATCCAGTTTCAGTAGAAGCAGTGTCAGAAATGCTCTCGAATTTCTGATTTGTGGCTGAGGCCAGTGTATCCATGTTCTTTGGTGGGAGTAGTGAAGTCGTAATCTCAACTAAGGGGCAATTTGGCTTATCATTCTAGATGTACAGCCTTCCTTTATTCTTACCTATTCGTAAATCTGGTTCTCCAGCCTTCATCATAATTCTGTGTGCTTTTCCCTCAGTAATTCCTTTTCTGCCTTAATCAACCAGAATTTGTTTCTGTTGCTTGCAATTAATGAACAGACTGATACTGCTATCATTTATTGAGACACTACTTTTTGTCCTTAGACGTGGCAAAGCTTAGTTCATTTCTTCTATTCCTTTCTGTAAAGTGGACATTATTTTCCCCATTTTAACTTCATTCTATAGAAGAAAAAAAATGAGGTTCAGAGAGTTTAAGTGGTAGAATATATTTTTTTGTTTTACTTTAGACTTACATACGTTTTGCAGCATGCTCCAGGAGAAGCAAATAAAGTTTAAAAGAATCATGTGGACACATTTTTTTTTTAGTCTTCAAAATTTATTATAGCTAAGAGATTTTTCATTTAAAAAAATCTGTTTAGGGGACCAGCAGTTGGCGTAATGGCTATATCGCTGGTCTCCCATGTAGTCGGCTGCGGTTCGAGTCCTGGGCCCGGTGGCTTAACCTCACGCCTGGCACGTGTGCGTAAGTGCCCACTATCCCTAGAGGAAAATGGAGGAGAAGGGATTGCGGCATGGCCATCCCCCCTGGGGCGGGGGCGGGGGGTGATTTCTCACTTTCTTTCTTTCTTTCTTTTTTTTTTGGAGAGGTTTTTGCTATAGGGCACGTGCGCTCGCCAGACAGACAGAGACAGAGAGATAGAAAACGAGAAGTCACCCCCCAAGGGGATGGCCACACCACAATCCCTTCTCCTCCATTTCTCTCTCGGGATCTTGGGCCCACACGCACACACACGTACCCGGGGTGAGTTTAAGCCACCGGGTCCGGCACTCGAACTGCAGTCAGCTACATGGGAGTTCAGCCACACAGCCATTACGCTAAGTGCTGGTCCCATCTCTCTTTCTGTCTCTCTGTCTCTCTCTGTCTTTCTGGCGAGCGCACGTGCCCTATAGCAAAAACCTCTCCAAAACAAATAAAAAAGTCTGTTTACCTCTTGGTTGATTAGTCGTGTGTGTTTTCTTTCTTTCTTCCTTCCTTCCTTCCTTCCTTCCTCTCTTTCTCTTTCTTCTTTTTTAACAGACAGCCTCAGCCTCCTGAGTAGTAACGACCACAGGTGTGTACTACCACACCTAGCTCTTCAAGACAGGTTTTCCCTATGTTGCCCATGCTAGCCCATAAACTCGTAGGGGTAACGACCACAGGTGTGTACTACCACACCTAGCTCTTCAAGACAGGTTTTCCCTATGTTGCCCATGCTAGCCCATAAACTCGTGATTCTCATCTCATCCTCCCATGTAGCTGGGACCACAGACAGAGACCACCATGCTCAGCTTTTTAGGATGGTCCAGGAATCAAACTGAGTCCTCGCATGTCTTTGGTCTTTGCCTGCCAAGCAGTAGTGTGTGACTAGCATGCACTACCATGATTGGGCCTTGCTGATCAGTTTTGTAGTTTTATGGAATCATGTCTAATACTTGGATCGTGAAGAATTTAAATCAATTTCCTTTCTGGAATTCAGTTTCCTATCTATGATGAGAAAGATGATTGGCTAGGTTTCTTAAGATCCCTTCCGGAGTTGATAGCCTATAACTAATAAAAATTCATCAGTGTGGCAAAAAGTAAAATTAAATTATCCTTTTTTCTGTAACAGGAATACTACTTAAAAAGAGATATCTGAAGATTTCTTTACCCTGGTATAATATGTCTTCTATGTTAATTGCTCTCAAAACACTATATACAAGATATGTAACTTCAGGATTTTAGTCAATTATTCTTGGCCAGTATTTTAATAATTCGAGGAAGGCCAATGTTTATTTCCTAGAGATACACATTTGTGTATTGTTTATTGCATCCCTAACTGGAACTATTGACATTATAGGCTGCATAATTCCTTATTGTGGGGACTGTCCTGCACATCACGGGATATTTAGTAGCATCCCTGGGCTTTGCTCACTAGAGGCCTGTTGAATGCCTCTTCCCTTCCATTTTTATGACAATTAAAAGTGTTCCATGGCA